GAGAAATATATATATATATATATATATATATATAGAGAGAGAGAGAGAGAGAGAGAGAGAGAGAGAGAATATAATAAATAAGTGAAATAATTGACAACATGAAAAGAAAGCTACTTATGAGACATAAACATAGAGTAACTCAGTCTGCCCAATCAGTACAGGCCAGAGCTGAGCTGCTTACCACGTTAATCACAATGTGATGGAGGCACTGTACACCCAGGATTTTATTCTCAGTCTGATAATCATCTGAGATGAGCAAAGATGGAGGAAGTATTTTCTCCAGGTGCTGGCTCAGCCAGGGCTGAGTGACTTGTTGCAGGCTCCAAGAGAAAACATGTTTGACAGCAGGATTATTCTTCCAGGATTCCCTTCCAGGACACATGAAAACCACACTAAGTAAAATGACACAGCAGCAGCAAAGAAAACTACTGAAGCTTAATAAGAGCTTCTTTTCTTGTCTTTAACAGATTTATGCTTATATGTGCATGTATGTATAAACATGTAACTATTGTTTTTTCAAATATATTTTATGATTTAAGTTGAATTAATTTACATAACTTACACTATATACACTCACCAATTGCCCAAACTCTGGGTAATAAAAGCTTATTCAGTAAGTAGCAGCCATTCACAACTACAGCTATGTAAAAGTCCTGTGGGGTTTTAGTGGTGGTCATGTTGGTGGATGATGTGACATGTGCTGGTAAGAGAGAGAGGGGAGTAAAGGTGTCTTACACTATGTGAGCACCAACTTTTATAAAAGTGTGCACATCTTACTCAAAATAATAACTGTACAATAGGTATATCGCCTTTAGTTACAAATAATAAAACAAGATTCATGGAAGCTACCTGACCTAGTCCTACTCAAAACATTACAAAGAAACACTAAACTGGGCACTGTGCTGCCCCTCTGTAATCTAAGCATTGAGGAAACTGAGGAAGGAGGATTGCTCAAGGTTGAGGTCAACATGAACTACATAGTAAGCTCAAAGACAGCCTATAAAGTAATCATCTCTTCAAAAAAAAAAAAAACTAGTTTCAAAGCCTTTTTGCTCCAAGTTTATTTTGTCTCATCATTTTGGTGCCAGAAAACTGGGGATCTGCTCAGTTGGCAAGGGGCTTGCCTAACATGCACAAACCCCTAGGCTGAATCCAAGGCAGCATACACTAGGCATAGTGTGGCATGCCTGTGGGGCACATGTGAAATCCCAGCACTTGCATGTAAGCCTAGCACTTGGAGGAAGGATCAGAAATTCAGGGACACCATCCTTGGTTACCTGAAAACCTGCCTGAAGGGGCTAGAGAGATTGCTAGAGTGGTCAAGAGTACTTGCTGCTCTTACAAAGGAGCCAGCAACTCTATCAAGTGGCTCACAATCTTTAAGTCCAGCTCCAGGGGATCAGACACCTCTGGCTTTCTAAGGCACCTGCACTCTCATGCAGACACACATCTATACATATACATAATTAAAAATAACAAAATCCTAAAAAGAAAAAAATCTGCTTGGAACAGATTTGATGGCACACACGAAATTAGAGGCAGACCAATCTCCATGCTGGCCTGATCTACATAAGAGCTTCAAGATGGCCAAGGCTATATAGTTAGAACCTATCTCAAAAATAAATAAATAAAATATAAACAAACAAAATTAAAACCTGGCTCAAAACAAAATACTAAAAGTAGCAAGTCAAAACCCACAGCAAGTATTCTAATAGCAATCCAATTCAGTCCACTTTAAAGTAAAGGGTTTTCATTATTTCATTCCAATTATTACTTCCTTATATAATAATCAACCTAATCTAATAACTAGAGTTATTAGAGCTAGAGGCGCCAATATTTAAATTCAAGCTAAAAGCCTGGATGGATCCTTTGCATTAAATACTCATGGGTGCTTAGCATAAGATAGTTGATTCCATATAAATGGGTCAGGATTTCCAATTTCCATGGCTAATGTCAGAATTTCCAATTTCCCAAGGCAGTCAGCCGTTCAGTGCAGAAAATGGAGTTTCAAGACTTTGGTTCTAATCTGGAGTTTCCTTCTATTCGGTTACCTCACTTCTAGCAAGTCACAGCCGCTCTGGGCCTTAAGCGATCTAATATGCCAACATCTCCATCTACCTGATAATTGTGGAAGGTGCGGTACTCACTTATTCAGATGGGGTTTAAGAAGCCCCAAGACCACAGCAAATCTCCCTCGATCATCTTCATTCTCTCCGCACAGGAATCCTGCCACGGAACTGCACTCAGTAACTCGAAGCAGTAAGGACAGCACCTCATCAGCCACGCGCTGAGATCTTGGACTGGTCCACGGCTGCTTCAGCCTGTGTGTGGTGGCAAAAACATACGCGGGTCCTGCCAAGTGGCGGAGGCCTGTCTTCCACGCAGGGCAGGCGGGAGAACTCTTGGCAGCCTCAACCTTGCCCAGCAGCTTAAGAAAGAGTAACCCGACTTCAGTTGCTTTCCCAGCCACTTCGGAATGCCCATCGCCTCCCTCTGCCTTCTCCTTGGGTGGGGCTGCGAGCTTCTCCAGGGCCTTCGCCACCTGTCCCAGGATCTCGGGCATCCCCCGGAGTGAGTCACCACTCCTAGTCCCCTCGCACAATTCATCACATTCGGCGGCTTCTATTAAAGCACCCAGGTCTTGGAGGACGGCAGTCCTTGCGTTGCCCTGACCTGACTCTGGGCGGCTCAGGCCGTGCAGAATCTTGGAGAAAGCAAGTTCGAGGGTCGAGGGAGACCCCTCTGCGAGCGGGGAGGGGACGCCTCGCGATTCCTCCTCAGCGCTGTCAAGCTTCATTCCTGATCGCACCCGGGTGGGCTGGGCTCCCCGCGGGGACCGACACCGAAGCCGGGAGGGCTCTGGAGTCTCAGAAGGAAGATCGCCCCGGGGCTGGGAGTCTCCCAACGAACAGAACTAAAACCATAGACAGTAAAAAGGCGAGCTGTCCAGACAAGGGTCGGGTGGGACCGGTTAAGAGGGTGTATGAAAGGGCCTTGGTACGGTGAGAGCCTCCAACTCCTAACACGTGGAGGAATTCATCTTTCTGGAGATTCGAGAACAAAAAAAAAGTAAGTTTTAAAGATAAATCACTGAGCCGTGACACCGACAAGGTGCCAGGTACATACAGCTTATCCCGTACAGCCTCAATACCCAGCAACTTCCGGCCCCGGGTAACTGTACTTCCGTAAAGTGCAAAAATAACTTCCGGCCCCGGAGCTGCAATGCTTCTTTTCACGACTTACGACCGAAAAGCAAGGAAGAGCCCGGCAGAGGATGAGTAAAAGGTGGAGCTATGAAGAATATATTTGCATAATTAAGCGTCCGCTCAATAATTTTGCTTCTGATTTCATGTTCCAGGCCAGGAACAGGGGAACGCTCACAAAAGTCTCACCAATAGTTTTGAGTTGCATGAGATTTTCTGTGTAAGGACTAAATAGAGCCGCACTGCGTTAGTCACCCTCTCTGTAAAACCGGTAGGAGTGACTTGATTCTTCCCTACGCAATCAGGGAGGCGATCCTTTTTTGGTTCATAAGCGTGATGATTGGGGATTCACGCCTTTGCGTGACATGTGCCGCCCATTAAACCTTGTTACGCCGCGGGCACATTACCCGTCTGACGTGAACTAAAGAGGATCCACCACTTTCACTTTGAAACTTGAAGTGTCTACTCTGGATGTTTATCTAGAGGAGTGTTCCCGGCTGCCAGTTTTTGTACTATCTTCAGTTTTGGCAAACTGGACTCTTCTTTTAAGAAATCAGACTATGGAGAAGGGGAAAGGGTCACCATCCACTGAGCAAATTGAGAACATGGGAAGGTGGGAGAGTGAGAAGGGAAGAAAAGGAAGGATGCAGAGGTCATGAGGAGGCAGAAAGGTTGAGTCAGATGGAGATTAGAAGAAAGGACATATGATAGGTAGGATTTTACTTGGGCGGGGAGAAGGGAACTGGGATTGTCATGTAATTCAATCTTGTTTGTAATTCAAATATACAAAAAAATGAAAAAAAAAGGAGGAAGAAACCAGAGTATGAGAGTTATGCATCCGTCTACGGGAGAGTTTTAATTGTTCTTTTTAAAGAGATACCCTCTCTCAAAAAGTAAAATAAAGGTTGTTATTTTAGGATATTACATTATGTGTGTGAATGTTTGTCCACATGCATATCCTTGTGCCTCCTGCGTGCTTGGTCCCTGCGGAATCCAGGAAAGGATGCCACTGAGTTTCTGAAGGTTGTTAGCTATGCCATGCTCTTAACTGCTGAGCCACCTTGTCAGCTCGGTGGCATACAGTTCTTAGTACACTTTGCAATTACCCTATCTGTGATGCCTGTCTGTCCCCCATCCCCTTTTTTCTGTGTGACCTTTTGCAAACATGCAACTCAGATGTCTATGTCTTAATTTCTATATTGGGGAAAATTTTTAGATAATAGTCCCCACTTCTTAGGACTGTTGGGAGAACTTTTTTAAGTTTAATGTACATAAATGCTAAGAACAGTAATCTGATCATCATAAAGTTCATACAGATGTTAGCTCCTGCTGTTATGCCCACAGCATTAGCATTAACTTACATTTCTTCTCTTCAAGGAAATTTGGTTATTAGAATCCCAACTCAGGGTCTCTTTCATTTGGCTTTTCCTACTCTGACCAATTGGTGGCACTCCTGATCAATCACTGTTAAGCACATCCAAGGGAACCTTCTCACACAAAGGCCCAAGCACAGCATGATGCTGGTTAATAAGAGGTTATTGTGTTCCTTCTGTGTGGGACGTTTCTTCTCCAATACATGTGCCCCTTCTGTTCAGTGGATCCAGGCATGCTCATGGACTTAAGGAATGTTCTTTATTGTAGAGATCTCTTGCTGAGCTTCCTGAAGCCAGAGCTGGCCTTGCCTTTACTCCTAGTGCTTGGCACAATTTATTCAGGCAACAAATGTATCCTGAACCCCCATGTCCACACACAGAGCACAGACTGAATTGATCACAGTCTATACACACAATGTAGCTGCATGGCGCTGGGTCCACACAATGCAGCTCGGTACAGCTGCACTGAGTAAAAGAGAGCAATCTTCATGTAATGATGTGGAACTCCATGAAATATAGATCAGTGAAAAGAGTAGAGGGGATGCAGTGTAGATTTTATCTTGCTATAAAGAGAGATGGGAAAATAGAAAGCAAAATGTATATATTTTCTTGTATGTTAACAAAGAAATTGAGTCTAAATAACAAACTACAAAAAAATTATATGTAGGCTTACTAGCTTGTTTTGTGGCAACTTGGCACAAGCTAGAGACATTGGACAGGAAGGAGCAAGCCTCAGTTGAGGAAATGCCTTCATGAGATCCAGCTGTAAGGCATTTTCTCAGTTAGTGATCAATAGGCCAGTTGTAGGTGGTGCCATCCCTGGGCTAGTGACTCTGGTTCTGTAAGAAAGCGGACTGAGCAAGCCATGGGGAGCAAGCCAGTAAGCAGCTCCCCTCCACGGCCTCTTAATCAGCCCCTGCCTCCAGGCCCCTGCCTGTTTTGAGTTTCTGCCCTGACTTCCTTCAATGATGAACAGTGCTATGGAAATGTAAAGCTGAAGAAACCCTTTCCTCCCCAACTTTCTTTTTTGGTCATGGTATTTCTTTGCAACAAAAGAAATCCTAACTAAGACATAGGAGAATAATAGAATGAAAGGAATAGGAATGAAAGCTAGATCTCTCTATACACACTACAGTAGTTTTGACTTTGGAATCATGTGAATACCTTATATAGTTATTTTCAAGAGAAAATAGCCGGGCGGTGGTGGCACACGCCTTTAATCCCAGCACTCGGGAGGCAGAGGCAGGCAGATCTCTGTGAGTTGGAGACCAGCCTGGACTACAAGAGCTAGTTCCAGGACAGCTTCCAAAGCCCATGGTGGCACATGACTATAATACCAGCATTTGGGAGGCTAAGACAGGAAGATCCACACCAGCCTTGGGTAAATAATAATGTAGCTCATTTAGGGGAATGTTTGCCTAACAAGCACGAGAAAATGGACTAGAACCACCAGCAACACATGAAACTGGGTATACTGGTGCATGCCTGTAATCCCAGTGCTCAGGTGGGGAAGGCAGCAGGATCAGAAATTCAAGGCCAATTTGAGCTACATGAAGCCCTGACTTAGAAAGAAGAAAGAAGAGAAGGAGAAAAGGAAGGAAGAAAAAAAGAAAAGAAAGAAAGAAGGAAGGAAGGAAAGAAAGAAAGGAGGGAAGAAAGAATTATAAAGTCATATTCACTAGAATGGCTAGAAACAAAAAGCACTGATAATTTTGGCAAGTGTTTTGGGAAACTGAAAAATAATATGAAATGCCCACAAGGTTGTGAATGAAGTGGTGTGAATGTTGTGGACTAGTCTAACAGTTTCCTTGAGAATTAAACAGACTTAACACAGAGCTGAACAGGATTCAACAATTCTCTTCCTAAATATACAGCCAAGACAACTAAATTCTTGTACTGATACAAATCGTGATGGGAAAAAAAAACAGAAAAAGAACTAGAAAGAGAGTCAGAGACAGACAGGCAGACAGACAGATGGGGGGACACACACACATAAGCAAAGAGAGAGAGAGAATGACTAGGGTTAATTTCCAGTGTCTTCTTTGAAAGTAGGCCTCTGTTGATCCAGATACTTTCTACCTGGCCTTACTTATAAAAGTTCTACCACCTTGCAGTAGTGCCACAAGTTAGAGAAGAAGCTGTCAACACATGGGCCTTTGGGGCTTTAGTTCACATCCAGTCAAGCCTATGAGGTAAATGCTTATGCTCTGGCATGAACACCCTAGATGAAGCACCACAGGCCAAATGCAACCTGGCCAATAGATCATATGGTAATGTCTGCAAAGCTGGGAAACAAACTTTTTTTCTTCGTAATTTGACTATGTCAGCTACTTTGTTATGATGACAAAAACTAACACAGTAAATGAAATGTGATAGATACACACAATGGGATTCTGCTTAGCCAAAATTAATGAAAGTTTTTGTTTGTTCTGTTTTGTTTGATGAGAGCTTTTAGTTCTGGGAATTGAACCTGTGGCCTTACCCATGCCAAACACATGGGTGTGTCACTGAGCTGTGCTCTCAGCTGTAAGTGAGATTCTGATGCATACTACAACATGGATGAACCTTCAAGACATTATGCAAAGTAAAATAAGCCAGTGATAAAGGCACACATTGTATAATTTTACTGACATGAAATTCCCAGAGTACATGTATCAATAAAGTCATACGTAGACCAGTGACTCCTAGGAGATGGAGGGAGAAATGAAAGATGGCTGCGAACACTTACAGTGATTCCTTTTAGGATGCTAAAAATGTGCTGGATATGGCTAGGGGTAGTGATTTCCCAGTCTTGCAAAAATTTAGTGAGCTGTACTCCCTAATGTGGAATATTATGGTTTGTACATTAAATTTCAGTTAAATACTGCTAAGGGTCAGCAAGATGTCTCCATAGATCTAGAACAAACACACTGAGATCCATGTAAAGGTAGGAAAAGAATCAAATCAACTATAAAATGCAAATTATTATATGTAAAGATATGGACTCTGGACTGCAAGGATAAATAAGTAGCTTCTAGTTCATACAACAAAAACCCAAGGACAAAGAGTAGGCTCTTCAGTGTCGAATCTACACTAGCTGAACATTCTCCAGCCATGATTGTTTGTTTGAAGAAATTCTAAACTAAGTAAACTTGCTAAATGATGTATGGACAGTGCACATGGTAACATGGGGCTTCATGTATACAACTGTGCTTTAAAAAAAATCAGTGCTAGGTTTATGTAGATTCATGCAAAGGTCAAAGGTGAAGCCTAGATTTACAGCACACATAGATGACCTTGAGGGGCAGAGTGGACAGTGTTGATGTAAGGGAAGGAAGGCTGAGAAGTAGATAGAGTTAAGCAAGCCAGGAAAAAGATGACCTCATGCTTTACAAGTCATGATATGACACATTTGTGTACTTATCTAAAATAGGTATCAAGTGTATTTATGTATAAAGGGATTACATTTTAGATATTTCCTTTGATGGGAAACAGAAGACTACATTCACTTGCAGGAAGCTTTTGACTAAACATTCAGGAAGACTTCTCAGCCTTCCAGGTACTACATCCTGAACAATTTGGAGCTTTGGTCATCTCAGCACTGGAGAGGTTGACAAAAGAGGA